GCATCAGTTCTTCTTTGGTCTTCCTTATTCATTGTCCAGCTTTTGCATGCATGTGAGGTAATTAAAAATACCAGAGTTTAGACAGTTTATAAACATAAAGTATAACTTGTTATTTAGAAGCTACTGAAGGAAAAGAATCTTACGACTTGTAAAGTTCCTAGGGCTGTTAAAATCAAACCTGCAAAATTGTTAGGATAAAGGACTTAGTAAGACTTATACCTAAGATGACGTATGCAGATATCATAGTTGTAAGACGATCTGTGCTTATTGTCTTCTTCTCTCTACTTGTTTGCTTAGAAGGGAAGACATGGATCTGAGAAAAGAGCACAGTTTCTAATGCCATAGTGAGAGCAGTTGCTGTAGGAAAGAATTTTGTGGTGTAGATTTCTAGTGTTCCTTGGGTTTGTTTTGAAATAAATTGCCTATTTGCAGCATGCCTTTATATTTAGTATTCTTTTTCAACCATCTAAACAAAGTTTTTTACTCTGTGGTGCTGTTGTTGTCTATTTTTAATCCTGTGCACTTTCAATCTGAAGTCATTTCTTCAGTTGTGGAAATTTCTTAGCCATAAATTATTTCTTTGAATATTGCTTCTGCTGTGTTCTGAGTGAGTTTCTCAGAACTATCCTCCAATTCATTAATGTTCTCTTTAACTATGGCCCGTCTAGAGTTATACCATCTATTCAGTTTTTATTGCCCTCTTTTTTCATTCATATCTATCTTTTTGTTTCTTAATTTCATATACTTCTTATAGTTTTTTTTTAATCTCTGAGAATCTTTAATATATAGTCAAACTTCATTATTTGCAGATTCTGTATTTGCAAATTCGCCTGCTTACTAAAATTTATTTGTAACCCTAAAGTCAGTACCTGCAGGGCTTTCACAGCCATTCATACATGCACAGAGCAGCAAAACATTTGAGTCATGTAACATACCTGTTCCCAGCCGAGGTTGCACAAGATGATGCTCCGCCTTCTTGTTTCAGCTCTCATTCTGTAAACAAGTGTTTTTTTTCAGTTTATTTAGTGCCTCCTTTTTAAAATTTTTGTGCCTTTTGTTGGTGATTTGCTGTTTAAAATGGCCCCAAGCATCGTGCCAAAGTGCTGTCTACTGTTTCTAAGTACAAGAAGGCTGTGATGTACCTTACAGAGAAAATACGTGTGTTAGATAAACTTCCTTTAAGACATGAGTTATAGTGCCCTTGGCTGTGAGTTCAATGTTAATGAATCAAAAATATATATTAAATAAGGTGTCTTTAAACAGAAACACACATAGAACAAAGTGATGTATTGATCAGATGAAAATGTGACCAGAGGCTCGCAGGACCCTAACCCTGAATTTTCCGTAGGAGCAATGGTTCAGCGTTCACTAATTCGGTGTTCGCAGCAGCTGTGTAGATCATAACTACCACAAATGATGAGAATCAACTGTAGTTCTTTAAAAATCACTTTGAAGTTATATTATTTGCAGATTTTGGGTAGTGATATTTATCCTCACGCTTTCTTAATGTCAGTTATTCTCGT